ATATATACAAATACTCTATTTTATTAATTTGTCAGGACCCTTAAATCAGTAGATTGGCTCCTATTTTAGAGGCTGTCAATTGTAGTTATGTAATTTTACATACATAGTTTTATTGTTTATGTCTAATTTTTAAGTTATCTGTATCACAGTTTTGTTTGAAACTTTTAAATTCTTGGTTCTTTGTACTTATATAGAAAGGATTTATGTTTAAAGAAAAGTTGGTCGAAAAACTTAGCAGCTTATTTTTTTAATTTGCCTTCAAGACGTTATGACAGTATTTATCCTCTATGCATAGTGCATCTATAATTACATACACAGCCCTCCAGGTGAGTAATTTGACAGAAAATGGCTTTGTATTTAATTGTGGGTTAATTTTTAAAACCTTTCGCATTTTAGTACATTAAACATTGTCTTAAAATATGTCTGTTAGTACATTATTTAATTACTTATATATTAATGCGACGTAACTTACTACTGACACATGAAGAATTTTAGATAACTATTTAGAAGCGTGAGTTATTTACAAATTTAATGGACACCTCACCTCTACCAGTCGACGCGAATGGTAGAGCGAAAATACGCGCGACTTCGTTCTACAGTGATTTTTCATATTTTGATTACTAAATTGCTATAAATCGTTGAAGTCGCTCGAACATTACAGTGACTATGACTAGTTCAATAGAGTTTGTTCCGTCACTAGTAAGTGAGTAAATTTCAGTTAGGAAAACACTGTCAAGTGAAGCAGGATGAAAGCACTAGCTCAAATCATTATAACGCAAAATATAAATAAGAAAATCCTTTACAAAACATAGACTAACGTCAACCTTACAATGGGTTTCTTCAACGTAAGGGAACGTTTACAAACAATAAAATTTCGACTAAAGAAGAATCGCATTGAAAATTTACTATGGCTCGTGAATGCTGTACCCAGTCTGTCTGGCTCATCGCTGGAGTCAGATGGGAAAGTGAACGGTATAATAATAATAATAATAAACTCTTTATTGCACAAACATAGACATAAGAACATGGATACATAGAATTACATATACAAAATAAAACATGTTTGTGCAAAGGCGGCCTTATCGCCTATGGCGATTTCTTCCAGGCAACCTTTGCATGTAGAAATAAGAAATAAAAAAGATAATTTTGGAAAACAATCAAAAGTCAACATAAAAAATTAAATTATACAATAAAAAGATAATATAAACTGGAAATTAACACCAAATTACTAAAGCTAAACATACTTAATAGATAAAATTACACACTTAAAACCTAGAGAAGCATATGAAGATCCTAAATATGATTAATTCTAAAGCCAATGAGGCCAAGGCTAAACAGCATTACCAAGAAAGTATTGCTTGACCCTGACCTTAAATATAGTGTGACTCTGTGACAGTCTGACTGTAAGTGGTAGCTCATTCCATAGGGGAAGCCTGTACGAAAAAGAAGAGTCATAAAACTTTGACGAGTGGATCGGAGGAGAGAAGGCGGTTGTTAGTAGAGCGAAGGTCCATTCATGGGAGGAACCCATAAATATAAATCTCTGCTTTAGGTAGGAAGGAGTGCGCGGATAAAAGGATAGAGAAAAGAAGACAAAGGATGTGAGTATTGGAGAAGTCTTATGGGGAGCCATTTAAGTTTTGAGCGGAACTCTGAGACATGGTCGTACTTCTTAGACCGTAGATAAAACGAATAGCAAAGTTTTGGAGTCTCTCTAATTTATTAGCTCTCTCCTGTTACGTCTAGGTAGCAGACTCGGCATAATCAAGAACAGAGAGCAACAGCGATTCGGAAGTAGTGTCTTGGTGGGGATGGCAGGAAATTTTGTAAACGTCGAAGCATGCCCGCAACTCCATACACCTTTCTGCTGACCTCCTGTATTTGTTTATTCCATGACATGGAACTATGATATGAATCCCCAAACTCTTCACTGTTTTACAAAACGGAATTTGGGCACCTTGATCAAATAGAGGGAATGTTACTCCAATCTACTCTCGCCAACTGATATGAACTTCCAATAATTATTGTTGGTTTTGACGGGATTAATAAGGAGGCCGTGAGAATTTGACCAATCTACAACTACTTGAAGGTCGGCGTTTATGGAATTGATACCATCAACAAGGTTTTCAATTGTGGAATGAGTGTAGATTTGAAGATCGTCGGCATATAAATGATACCGACATGAAAATTTAGAGGAAATTGAATTTATAAAAATAGAAAAGAGAAGAGGAGATAGCACACCGCCTTGCGGCACGCCAGCAGTAACTGTAGACCAGGAAGATGAAGTATCACCTACTCGAATGCACTGCTGACGTTCCGTCAAGTAGTTTTTAAACCAAGTAATAGCTGTAGATGAGACGTTAAGAGAAAATAATAGAGCAAGTAACACATCAAAATCGACAGTATTGAATGCGTTGGAAAAGTCAACCAGAGTCAAAATTGTGAGCTCCCTGTCATCCATAGCCATTCTTATATCATAGTTACTTTAAGCAGAGCTGTGGCTGTACTATGACCAGATCGAAAGCCGGATTATATGGATTGAAAAGGATTTTTGTTAAAAAAGAGACAAGTTTGATATATAATTTTTGAAAGCTTTAGCCAGGAAAGGGAGAATAGAAATAGGGCGAAAATCATTTAGGTTAGTGGGATTATTAAGCTTCGGGATAGGAATAATAAAAGCTTTTTTCCAGACGAGAGGAAACTCTCCTGTTTCTATAGAAAAGTTGAGGATATGGGTTAATATAGGAGCTATAGAATCAAGAACGGGAAGAATCATAGTACGGCCAACACTATCAACGCCTAAGGCATTAGAAGTAACTGACGTGACCTTTCTCTTAACATCTACAACTGAAAGGAGTGAAGCAAAACTGAGGATAATTTGGATAAAAAATTTGGAGAAATATATTAGTGTTCGTAAATGGTCCAACTTCACTGAGAATTATTAGCAATGACTAATATTAACGCCTTTGCATGTCTAATTCCGTTTTATCACCTCTAAAATAATCTTCGAAGACCGATCGATTTGAGCGGCATTAAGCGAGAATTGATTCATTAATTCTTCGAGGCCATCGAGGAGCTAACATCTCCTGATGATGCCGTAGGCTCGTGATGGCGAAACGTCGAGAACCTCTTCATAAGATTATAATATCTAAAAAAATATTGTTATACAAGGAGGGATTCGAACTGCCTACCTTATCATTGAACTAAATAAACCTAATGTTATTACTAACTTGGTGGAGATGCCCGTTCTTAGTCCTCTGTGACCACGGCTGATGTAAGGCAACCAAAATAGCAAATTACGAATATATACCTCGTTTTAAACCGTTAAAAGTGTTTTAAAGTGACTTGCGTAAACTACTTTACTTATAGAGGTGATCTAATAATACTATATTTTTACAGTACCCTTTTGGATTATAAATATTGGTCTTCTGGTGTATGTTTATTGTGCTGGTAACATCATGTTCCAATTGAATACCGCAAAAGTCCCCGGGGAATTTATCAAGAGCAACGTTAATGTGTCCCTTTTTATTCTAACATTTAATAATTGCTACTGGTGGATTCGTCAAAGGTTTGTTGAAACGTTCCTGTAATTTTATTCACTTAAGGGGAATTTCAGAGGCCACTGTAGTCGCGTATACGTAACTAAATAAAAAAAAATATATTTTTGTGGTTTTGTTTTTGTTTTATGTACTGTTCTACTTCAAGTGTCAAGTGTGGGGCTCGCTGAACATCGGCGTTGTGCCTACTTTCAGGTACAATAAAGTCTGAGCGGTGTACCTTCACATACATCAATTTTATTTTTTATGTTTTTGTGTGTGTGAAATAAATGACTTGATTTCATAGTTGGAGCCACTACACCATTTCGCTTCATGGTTAAAGTTACTTAACATTGTGTTATGTCTTCGGTGCTGGGATCGAACTCCAAGAAAAACGATAAATTCGGTCAGGCAGTTCACTGAGGTCTGATAAACTTGTCTGTTTTGTCGATCATTAAAATGGACAAAAATATGTGTTCCCCTCATACCCCACAGGGGACAAGAGGTTATATCTTATACTTTTCGTACCAACGGGTAAAGAAGGAGCAGAAGCTGATGGAAGTGTCCTATATTCACAAGTTGTAAATAAATGTATAAGCCTACACAGCTTGTTAATACTTTTAGAATTAAGTTAATATTTGACGACATTTATGAAAAATTGTTCATATATTTACACTGGTCGTCTTATATGAAAAATAAATCTCGTCACAACTATCAAATCCAATCAATTCAGGACCGTGTTTGACACAATGCTTTTCAACAAGTCACGGTTATGTTGTTTAATGGTCTAGGTATTTTAATTCTTAAAATGTGCGGAACAATTGTTGTTGAATAATTTTCGTTTCAGGAAGTTACTTGTCACGGTTTTAAAACAAGTCACTGAAAATGACAGACTAGCAAGGAATGAGAATTACGCGCCAGAAAAACACGAAAAACTTCTTTCATACGTAAAGAAGATCATATTATTTTTCTATGGATTAATTTTCGTCGATGCTATATTTATTTATTTGCCGAATCGAGTTGATACCTCTAATAATCATTATTGTATGACTCCTTGCGTTGGTAAGTTTCTGATACTAGTTAAATTTGATGGATCAGTTGCTCCAATGGCAATCAACGGCTAGTGTTAAAAACATGAATGTATACTTTTTCTGGATTTTGTTAGACTGGATATTACATGGCTGGTAGTAATATCGAAATTTCACAGAACAGCCCAAGTCCCGATAGAAAAGCTGTTAAGTTCCAATCAGGATATTTCAAACCCAAACTAGGTCGAATAGACATCCAATGTAATTGTTATATGACTGGGATTTTTCATCTCCCATCAAGTGAACCACGTGCTTTTTTTCCTCTGTCAATAGAATCGTACATGGGACATGCATACTAATCATAATTAGCTGTAAATAATGTATTGGTAGGGCGACAAGAAAATGTAAATGGCTTTTTTACTTACTATTATCAGGTATGGGACCACTAACGGAATCACCAAATCGTCAAATATGTCAGACCATCCTCTTCATCCAAGAAGTTTTTTTGCTTATCACAGATACCAACTATCAAACTCTTCAAATAGTTTTGATATCACATACCGCAACTATGTATCAAATACTAGCCGACGAGATGATGTCTCTAGATGAACCGGGTGATGAAAACCACTATGAATACATCAAAGACAAACTGCAAATACTCATCAAACGCCACACCCTGACTCTGGACACCATAAGAAACCTTCAAGCTCTATACAGTTTACCAATGGGTGTAAATTTCGGTCTCAACACCGTTTGCATTGCCTTGTTTTTCTATCTACCTACAGAAGAGTGGATAGATTTCTTTCCCTTTCTAATATACTGCTTTTTGGTCTTCTTCTTATATTGCTATCTTTGTCAGAAGCTGATAGATGCTTCTGAGTTGTTTGAACGGTCTGTTTATGCCTGTGGCTGGGAGACGTTCGCAACGAAGGAAAGGAAAGTTGTCTATATAATGTTGATGCAAGCGCAGAAACCAATACAACTTTTGGCGGCCGACATTGTTCCAGTTAATATATACACATTTGCTACGACGATCCAGGTGTTGTACAAAATGATCACAGTTGTAAAATTTTAGTTAAGCTGCTTTATCAATATAGTTGCATAAAAAAGGAAAAGAAAATTTTACGTTCATTAATTGTTTTTATTGTAATTTTGTGTACAGAAAGCTGAAACCTGACGTTGTAATATTTTTGGATTGGTTAGGTAATCATTCTGAATGCATATCTTTAATTGTTAAAATGTAAGTACTACTCAATAATATGGTAAAATATAATATCATCTTTGGTAGACGTGACTTATATTCTCTGCTTTCCCTCCGTTTTACCAATTTTACATTAGGTATTGCGTCCTGATGCGAGTTTAATGAACAGAACATTTAGCTTCGAAATATTATTTCGGGAACGAGACTCGAACTGGTTCCTATTGATCTACAAATTGGGACCATCGAACTTTATTGTGACGGCCTCGTTGGTGAAATTACAGCAATGTATGGCTAATAAACAACGGGTCCCGGGTTCGGTCCCTTACAGTTCCAAGATTTTTCTAATTAATTTATAACTTTTCTTAAACATTTTGGACTTTACTAACAATCAAAATACCGTCGAGTATAATCGAAATTCACTCTGGATTTCCGAATATAAAGACAAAATGTGTAGATAGCGCATCTTGTTTAAATGTTATATGTATGAAAAATGTGTTGTTTTCAAGTCTTGTACTAAAATAATAAATAACAATTTCTTTTAGACACCTTTCTTTTATTAAATTACAATATCATAAAATAACATGAGGTACTAATAAGTACGAATTAGTAGCTAAATAATATAATTAGGGCTCTTGGTGCGATTAATTATATGTCATAAGATATGTGATTTTGGAAGTACGATATGTATTTTTGTTTAAAAAACATTTCCCTCTAAATGTAAAGTTCCTAGCGAAGTGTCAGTTGCTTCTCGGTTCTGTTCAACTAATACACGATAATATTAGATTTCATAATGGCTTTGTGTATTAAGAATATTTATTCTGACTTCAAAGGGAAATTACGAGGGAACCGTATTGAAAATTTGATTTGGCTTTTAAATTTCGTTCCCAAACTGGTTGGTTTTTCGCTTGAAAGGGAAACTGTATTTGGTAAATATGTGATTTGGTTATTATATACTGTCTATAGTTTACGCGAGTAGTACACATTTAAATAAAACACTTTAACGGTTTGAAACGCGATATATTAGTTAAACTTGTTTGGAAATGATTTTTAACTTCGGGGAGACACCTCGTGACCACGGCTGCTGCAAAGCATCCGAAACGTCGGGCCGTGCTTTTTTTTAAAACTACATGTTGTTTACCTGAGTACCTTCGACTATTTTCGCAGCACACGGAACTGAAAGAATAATTTTCTCAATATTTTTCACATTTCCCCCTGTTTCTTTGCTATTGGTCTATGGTATTTTTCAATAAGTTATGAAATCAAAAGGAAAATAATTTTTCCATTCTAGTTCCTAATATAAGCGCGTTCGAACAAACAAACAAGCTAACTTTGCTTTATAATATTAGTATAGATGATAGTGGTAATTGCCTGCTAAAAGATACTTTTGTAGACCATGTTCATTGTTCAGTGCCCAATAATATACAGATTAAATAAATATACTTACTTCTTAAATATTCTTTTTCTGTAGTACCATTTCTAGTTCTGACTATCACTCTCCTACTGTACGTGTATGGAGCTGGAATTGTGATGTACCAAGTGAAATTTGCGCAGACGCCGAAGGATTACGTGAAGAATTATTTCAACGTGTCCATATCGATTTTCGCCATTACCAATTGTTATTGGTGGATAAAGCAAAGGTGAGTATTGCTGGTAAGTAAGAGAAGAATCGGTTCACCTAGAACTAATGATCCGCTGTTCGATTGTAATTACTGACTAGCTGTGTCAGCGACTTCGTTCGCTGTATCTTCGCTCTTATAGCCTTATAACCTTCCTCAATAAATGCACTAACCAACACAAAAAATATTTTTCAATTCGAAGCAGTAGTTCCTGAGATAGCGCAATAAAACATATAATTAAACTCTTCAGCTTTATATATTCGTCTGTGTACTGACCGACAAAAGCCTTGTTTATCCCATGATTCGAAACAAGGACCTCTCGAGCTTCCCATAATGCGTTTACTTAAATATCCAGCCTCAGTCATAAATGTACTAATTTGAAAAAAAAAACAAGTAGGTAAAAATGTCTTTACTTCGAAATCTAGCTTTGTTCAAATTATTCATATTGATTAAAAAGAAATAATAAAGAAATACCGAATTCCTATGTTGTTTTTAATCATTTGTTTTATTACCTTTGTAAATAATGTTTTTTTTCAGACCCTTACTGCTGAAAGTTTTGAAACAAGTGAACGAGAATGACAGGCTGTCAAGAAAAACTCCTTGCTTGCAGAGTACTCAAGAAAAACTTCTTTCAGTCGTGAAGAAAATCCTCTTATTGTTCTACGGCTTCAATATTATAGATTCCATATTTATATACGTTCCACATCGCGTGGATGTGTGTAATAATTATTACTCTATGACGCCTTGTGTAGGTAAGGATAATTCAATTCGTTACTGGTTAATCTTCTTTTCTATATCAGCTTAGAACCATTGCGGATTGGCTAACTACGAGAGTATTTTTAATACTATATGTATGTATAATTAAAGTGAAAAAAAAACTTAAGAGGGATGTATAAAGAAAATTTACATTTTTTTGTTTCTCTGCGAATATTTTGTCCTTACCACATTTAATTAATATAAATAAACAAAAGTCATTATTACAAAAATATAATATACTAGCTGATCCGGCAAACGTTGTTTTGCCATATAAATAATTTCATCTATTGAATTGTAGCTTATATGACACGTTTGTCGGTTTACCATAGCAGTGCCATCTATCGATTACTTACTCAATCCATTGTAACTGTCAATTAATTATAGACAAATAATTTGCAAGAAAATAAAATTGCGACTATAATTAAAAATCTAAACTATCCTATGTCTCAAGTAGGACCAGACTGCTCACGGTGTGCCAATTTAATTTAAAATCGGTTCAGTAGTTTAGGAGTCCATAGCGGACAAACATCGTGACAGGATGTTTATATATATAAAGATATGTAGTGTAGAGAGTGTATGTGACATTATATGTGTAGGATTCCAAATTTCTTTTATGTGCAAAAAGTTCAATTTTTTTAAATTGAATAGTGTGTTCAAGAAGAATGTTTGATACCTAGGATTTTTTTTATTACAAATATACTTGATAGAGTTATTATTTGTCTATAAATATAATATGGGAAGTTGCATTTTTAGTTTAAAGACATTTTTTTTTCTACAGGTCTAGAGCCGATAACATCAACACCAAACAAACAAATATGTCTAATAGTTCTTGCACTCCAAGAGTTCTGTATAATAACAGTGGTCCTCAACTTTCAAGCTCTACTTCTCTTCTTAATAGCTCATACATCCGCGATGTACCAGATGCTATCAGCTGAAATACTTTCATTGGACAGCCAGATAGACTATCAAGTTGTGAAGGAGAAGCTACCAGATATAATTGGGCGACATGTTTTAACCTTGGATATCACAAGGAACCTCCAGTCGCTATACAGTACACCAATCGGCGTAAACTTCGGCACCAACGCTGTTTGTATAGCTCTGTTCTTCTCTCTCTCTTTTCAGGAATGGATTAACTTCAGTCCCATTTTGATCTACTGTTTCCTAGTATTCTTCTTGTACTGCTATCTGTGCCAGAAGTTGATAGATGCTTCGGAGATGTTCGAGCAAGCGGTCTACGCCTGTGGCTGGGAGAAGTTCCAGTTGAAAGAAAAGAGTGTTGTCTATATAATGTTGCTGCAAGCGCAGAAACCAGTCAAGTTGTTAGCGGCTAATATTGTTCCGGTGAATATTTATACTTTTGCGACTACCCTTCAGTTGGTGTATAAGTTTATTACTGTTGTTAAGCTTTAATTTGATAGTTTAGTAGTTCAAGTCAATCAGGTGATTTTAAGTGCTTTTTCTTTCTTTGCTTAATTAGAACTAATATGGAATTTTTGAGTTTAATAATTGAATGTATAATTATATTAATTCAGGATATTTTATGTAAAAACTACTAGTATATGAAATAAATGAATGGTAAACTTTTGTATTTTTGTATGCATCTACTTTTATATCCCTTGTTATTTCATTTAATGAAGCTTAGACTAATTACATTATTAATAAATTTCAAACTACTAGTAAGAAAAGTAGCACTAATTCTATAAATATGAATATATGATCTAAAAAAATCCGTTACGCTTTATCTGTATCTTTTAAGTTTAACTTGCAAGAACGAAGGGAAAGAAATTAGTATATTAAGATGAAAGGGTATGAAAAAACGAATTTACATACCAAAAAATCTTAGCGGACTAAGTCGCTATGAAATGTTTCGCTTACACGCCACTAAGTGTGATCTCTGTTCTACAGAACATATTTATACCATTTGCTCGGTTTAAGGCGTTGGTAGGATAGTCGGTGTCTTTTCTGAAACTATAATATTTTTTCATTAGATCCACGTTGAGTTATAGAGCCGACAATTTCCTTCTAAGAATTCAAAGTCAAAACATTACTTTCTAAAACTGAGACATAGTTTTACAGCCTTCAGCATTGCATCGTCACTACTCGAATTGTTGCAGCGTTAGGCAATTGTAGCGTAAAGCGCTATTTGGTAATATAATAGTTTCAAAAATTCTTTGTCATGTTTCTATTGATGTTTCAAAAATAAACAAGACTGATTAAGTCTTCAAATCCGTAGGAATGACTGTAATGATTTAGATTTATGTCTTAATTAACCCAAACAATGATGATTTCATTTCTTCATTTAAAATACAAACTGAAGATACATTCTGTTTATTAAACAACGATTTGTAATGAGTGAGTGAGTTTAAATAAAACACTTTAAAGGTTTAAAACGCGATATATTAGTGAAACTTATTTGAAAATGATCTTTAACTTCGGCCCGACGTTTCGGATGCTTTGCAGCAGCTGTAAATTATAATGTTAGATGCGTTCGTCAAATCAGGTTAAGATGTCAGTCCCGGGTTAAAACATTCATATAGTGGCAGTAGTTCTTAAAGTAGCAGTGACATTGTTTATTTTTAAATGCTTTTATAAAATAATAAAATAAAAAATAAAAAGGCTTTTCTATAGTTTACGCCAGTAGTACACATTTAAATAAAACACTTTAACGGTTTAAAACGCGATATATTAGTTAAACTTATTCGATAATGATTTTTAACTTCGGCCCGACGTCTCCCCGTGACCACGGCTGCTGCAAAGCATTCAAAACGTCGGGCCGAAGTTAAAAATCATTTTCGAATAAGTTTAATTAATATATCGCGTTTTAAACCGTTGAAGGGTTTTATGTAAAAAAGGCTTTTTATTACCAAACATATTTTTATATGTTTTACGTTCCGTTAATTATAATTGTTAAATGCGTTTAACAATTATTTTATCTTCTAAAAGTGATTCTCTTGATATACAAAAGAAATACACAAGCAAAATAGTCATCTAAATAAAACACTCTTGGTTTAAAACGCGAAATATATTATTTAAGCTTGTTTACAAATTAATTACAACCGCTCGACTTTTCGGATTCTTTACAGCAACTGTGGTCTCGGGGCCTCCGTAGCTTAATATATTTCGCGTTTATTTCAATGTGTACTACTCGCGTAAACTACACACATTATTGAATATAAACAACGTTAAAACCGATGTATAGATAGAAACATATACGAGTTGGTATAAATAAATAACATTGTATAATAATAATATAGATACTTCAATATTATTCAAGAAATACAGTGACCGGTTTATTATGCCTACTTGATACAGAGTATGAATGTCAATTACTTATTTAATCGGAATTTCCTTGATAACATATAAATACTAACCTACTTTTTTCTTTATTGTTTAAGATATTTGCAAAATGACCACGTGTGATTAAATATTTTAGGGTTCCGCGACCGCGTTATTAATAACTGAATTCAATACAAGCTCTCGCATCTGTTTCGTCGAAGTCGGCGTTGCAGAATCGACTAACAGTGTCTTCGCGTTTACTGGTATGCTGTTTTTTGGAATCCAGAGTTTTTAATATGGGACTTAAAATAATTTTCAAATAAGTTGAACTAATATATATCGCGTTTTAAACAGTTAAAATGTTTTCTTTCCATGTGTAGTCGCGTAAACTACAGATGGTATTAATAGGTATTTTTTTGTGTAATCAAGGAAATAATAACATTTTTCGTTCATAGATCTTATTCCCGCGTTAACTAATTCCTTCATCATGTATTTTATTTCGATTTCTTAAGTTACGGAACAATGTTTTGCCCCAATAGTGTCATAGCTGGTTTTGTTAAGAAACTTATCATGTCAGATGGAACGATTCTCTTGCGAGATGGCTCATTTTCTCTCTATTTAATATCATTATCTGTGTCTCCTCTATAGTCCATGGAAACACATGTCCATGTCTGTTTCAATAATATCTCTATCTATCTAATCATTTGAAGAGTTTATTTATGTCGGTTATAACATTTAGCGAGGAAGGCTTTAGGTTATAAAACATTGCGCCTTGACTAATAAGTGAGAAGAAACAGCGGGAAAAGTGAAAATTATCATCTTTTTGGGTTTCCAATGCAGACGCAAAACGGTTTAAGATACCCAAAAGATATATGTGAAAGAACTTAAAATGATCTAAAAAATGTCCGCGACACTGTCTATCTTTTAAGATTAACTTGCAAGAATGACGGAAAGGGACGCGACCGACGTCGTGTCGCGACGCCGCAACAGCTCAAACTTATAAACTAACTATTTTACGCGAACGAAGTCGCTGACACAGCTAGTATGTAGTTAAAATGTATACTTAAATCGTAAATAAAAAATCCATACTTCCTCTATCTTTGAACCCTATACAATATGAATTACCTTCCTATTTTACATTTTCCTTACCTACTTAATATTACGACACAAATATGAGCAAAAAACTTATAAAAATAACAAAAGAGTTTTCGTGTAGGGCAACGTGTTTTGTTTTTTGTTCTGGCGCGCAGTTTTTACGAATAATAGCGTACAATTTTAAACGTAGCCAAGTTTACTAAAGGTTAAATATGAATTTTATTAAAGAATATTTCTGTATTAATTTTATAGTTATGTTATCCGAACCGAATATCCAAATAGAACAAAATGTAAGAATAATTCAGTTACTATATTGAACTTTTAACTAAGTAAAAGTTTAGCCAATTACCGAGTGGAATGGTATTGCACTGCAGTGGAAATGTCATAAGGCCATGTTCACACTTGCAATGCGATTTAAACAATTAACAAATGTCTAATGATCAGTTCTAACAAGTTCAATCTATCTGTAGTATGTATACACGAAAGTTCATAGCAACCATATTTTTTATCAATTTTTATCTTCGACCTGATGTTTAAAAGAACACTATTTCACGTTTAAAATAAAACATTTTTAACGGTTAAAAACGCAAAATATTAATAAAAGGTATTGACAGAAACTAGCTGGTAACACCAACTACGATGAAACAGATGGCGCTAGCGCAGCAGAATGACTTTGACATTAGGGACCGTGGCTGCAAAGTAACCAAAACGTTGTAGTAAAATTTTATTAGCTTATATATTGCGCATTTTGAACCGTTAAGAGAGTATTTTATTAACAATCGATTTTAGAAACACGTTGGATTTGGTAAAAATCAAACCGACCTTGCTATACACCAATCAGTGTTGATTACAAACATATGCAAATGAAATGTACTCGTAACTCGTGTTACCAATACTTTCTTGTTACAAAATAAATAATTTAAATATCTATGTAGCCTTTGTAGCGCACGTTAGAAACGGTTCTTTATATTTTATCCCAGCCAGTGTGGTCATAGCCTAATGCGGATTTTGCCTTCGCCTTGCCAAGCTAGTAAGTCTGAGAGACGCGGTGCGAACAGCACGTCTCATCGCTCAATCGATTTGGTCGATTCACTTTCGATTATTCGAAACCGTAAATCGTAGTACCTAGTATCATATCAAAATGCCCCTTTTGTTATAGTGATTCTTATATGTTTAAAAGATGAAATTCGTGGTGTTTTGCCTCTTTGTTATTACAAATATCTGCGACGATGGTAAGGCATCTGTGGACAATTTCGCGCCAACGAACGACGCTAATGTTTTGACGGAGTTCACGAAAAATTCAGGTAAGATCCGCGTATTTACATTCGATATAGTTATTATAATCCTTATTAAATTAGTTTAGCTTAACTTACAAATCTGCGTTTAATAAATGTTTTATAAAGACGTTATACCTATTTATCTACGCATCGATAGTTTAAACGAGTGTTATAAATTGAATAAAACTACATTTAACTGTTTTAAACGTGAAACAAAGAAGTTAAATACACCAGATTGGATTCGGATGTTTAACAGCAGCCAAGGGACGTGTGTTTGTAATTTTATATATTTCACGTTTCAAACCGTTCAAGGTCATCTTAGAACTAAATACGTTAGTTTTAAAATGAACACCTATGAATTGATATTGGTAAGTAATGTACGACAAAATTCTTACAATTTACCGCACATTAATCAATACGAAAAGGAAAATCCTTGAAGCCCACTTAGAAAACCTAGTACTTAGCAAAATACGCAATAACGCTACAAGTAATTTACGGACATTGCAAAATGTGAAACCTTTCCAGACTCATGCCATCGACCTTGCAAGTTCAACGTGAAACCGCAAAGATGCTATTATACTTTTGACGTGGAACCAAACCTGGATGATGGAACAACCCTTGCAATCAATGGCCTGACCCCAGGGCCTACAATACACGCTTGTGTGCATGACATAATCGTGGTACAAGTCAGGAATAAGATACCAGACCAGGATTTGGCTATACATTGGCATGGAGTGGAGCAAAGGGGGACACCATATATGGACGGTGTGTCTATGATCACGCAATGTCCTATAAGCTATGGGTCGACGTTTAAATATGCCTTTAAGGCATCGACATCGGGGACATTCTTCTATCATGCTGATTCAGGTAAAAAATCGTATAATACTTGTTTATATGGTTTAAAACATATATATGTAAGTGTAGGTCTTATATTAGATAGTTCGATGCCTCTTAAAGCTATACTCAGAATATCTTTGAAAATTGACAATAATAATTTAATATTATTTTCTTACTAATGTAAATTGTCTCTTAATATTATCAAATTTGTACCTTAAGTAGGCAAGGAACGAAGTCTTATTATGATGTATTGTAATACGCAATTATAAAAAAATAGTGATGTCTCTAAATCAAAATGTATATCTATGGCTATATATAGATAAAGACAATATGTCAAAACCTTTAGTAAAATAAAAAAACATTAGACTATAAAATATTAATGCACAGACTATACTTATGAGATAAAAGTGAGTCTAAGGAAAGTGCTTCGTCGCGGTTAGTGCTCGTAAAAGAGTTTTAGAGAAAGTAAATTAGTTTTTGATTGCTTTACTTCAAAATTACTTTTACTCATTGTCACTTAAGTTAAAAACGGCAATTAAATACTATTTTTTGCATATTTCTATTACATACTATATAATATTATAAACTATTTTAATTATCTTCCCTTTTTAAATATACGCGCCAAAATAAATACTTTTTCTTAAACAAGCCAGCTACATTGTTGAAATGCTGGACACTTTCACATTCGTGTTTAGTCTGTGATTTGACATTTGAGTAATGAGGCGTCATAGCAATAATACGTCATTTTTTTCTTTAAATTTTTGTTGTAGTGTGTTGTATTTTTATTCTTCTGTTAATATGTATATTCGCGCCACAAAGGTCATCTTTGTGCCTTGACTCGTATAATAATAATATGAATAAATGGCGTATTTTTGTACGCGAATCTACGTAATGTTTAGACAAAACATTATTAACATAAGAACAAATAAGTATATGTCGTAAATGACTATTTTCTTTAAATACAATATGCTTATAAACATTATTATGACATTGAATTTCATAGAATAAAGAAGTTATGTGTCCCTCTAACAGTATAAAGTGAGATAAAGTAGAACAAGATATAAAAAAATCTCTTATTAATCTAACATAATAGGAAAATTAAAAATACCTGCATTTTTTAAATAAAACACTTTAACAGTTTAAAACGCGATATATTAGGTAAACTTATCAGAAAATTATTTTTAACATTGGCCCAACGTTTCGCGTGATTTGCAGCAGCCGTGGTCACGAGGAGACTACTAAAAATCATTTTCAAATAAGTTTAACTAATATATCGCGTTTTAAACCGTTAAAGCGTTTTATTTAAATGTGTACTACTCGCGTAAACTATAGACAGTATTTAATACCTGCATTATTTCATTTATAACTTGATTTTATCTGTATTCGGTGTTTCCAGTTGCCCATCAGAGTGACGGTGTCTATGGTGCTCTTATCATAGACCAGCCACGACACTTAGAACCCCATTCTTCAATATACGACTTCGATAAGAGCGAAGACCATACCCTAGTCATTGGAGCGAGATTCCCAGAATTGCTCTCAGCCAGCCTGGAAGACTTGACTAAAATTGCTCCTAGAAGTCTTATTATAAATAAAGAAGAAAGTGACACTAAGTAAGATTTCACTCAATGTTTATAACCATGTCGTTAATATTTAAAAGTTGTAAATTATTTGTTGGCAGGCAGTTGTCAATTGTATACCTATATCTAGAAAATTATTAGAAAAATTGTTTTTGTCACATTAACATCAGGGTAGAACCAAATGGTGCGAAGAAAAAAAAGGAAATGTGTACAAAACGGGGAATATTTAACACTTTATTTTAAGTTGACGTGATTGCTTTGTTTGAATTCGAGCCGACACAGCGATTCGTACTCGCAAAACTACTTTACTGACTTCGTTTTTAATTTAAACTAGACTTTTAATTTAGCTTTTCCCTTCTAGATTATTCGTAACGCAAACGTCAGGGTACCGAATACGTTTGGTAAACGCAATTGCGTTAGAATGCCCTGTCTTAGTCAGTATTGGCGACCATTTGGTGACTGTCATCGCTAGTGACGGGAAACCAGTCCAACCTGTTACCACTGGCGTCGTGAGACTATATCCAGGTATGTTCAATTGATCTATACTAACACTATAAAGCTGAAGAGTTTGTTTGAACGCGCCAATCTCAGGAACTACTGGTTCGAATTGTGTTAGATAGACCATTTATCGAGGAAGGCTATGTAACATCAATCTGCGATCAATACGAGTGAAGAAACAAACGAAAATGTGGAAAAACGAGGAAAATTATTCATCGTTGAGGGCTCTCGTTGTGTGCGCTGTCAAAAACTGTTCAACTAACGAAAAACTATGTATGATAGAGTGGTTCCTCTTTAATTGATGTAAAAAATGTTCGCGACTGTATACAACTATTTTTTAAAATTACCTAGCAAGAACGACGCGACGTCGTTGGTAAAGTAATTTATAAAGTTTGCTTAAGGAGGTTTGTAAAAATAAATTTGATGTCCACAATAACTATTCCATGCGCACGACGTCGCGAGCACAACTAAACATACGCAAGTAGCCCAATAGTAGGAATTAATAAGTATATAACAGCTTATGAAGTCATTATTTTGTCAGCAAAGTTATATCTTATTTGAGTATTCACTTGATGAAAAAATGTATGTACATATATTGTTACAACGCACACTTCAGCTTAAATCAAAAGGTACTAAATAAACAAATGAAGCTTAAAACTGTAATATAAATAAGATTTTTAGAAAGAGGAATAATGGTTACTTCTGCAGATGAAATCGTAAATCCGTGATAGTGCTCCACCAGCTCTTAGCAGCTCCATCTTAAACAAATCTCTTACAAAGTTTACCTTTACTTAAGCTTTCATGCTGTTTGACATATTAGATGTGTCTCATCCTTGCGTTGATTACAAAACCTACATCTTAAGAGATAACGAAGCCTAACCTCTATTTAGTTTGGATTATCACTGACACTCCTATATTTACTCAACCATGACCTCCACACATGCATATAAAAATATGAGAAACACAAATAAATTCAGGGTAAATTCCGTAGATCACTAATCATAATCACTGTTTGAATTATAATAAGGTTAATCAAAAGGAATGCAACGGTACAATTCGCGAAATATATTAGTTAATTTATTTTAACTACGGCCCGTCGTTAGGATGCTTTACAGCAGCCGTGGTCACGGGGGCCGGGGGATTAAAGATGCTGGGTGTCCTTGTTAAAGTCAAATGCTGCTACGCTCATCGTTGTTCAAATAAATTTAAAATAAATCTTTCGCGTTTTAAATCGTTAAAAGTGTTTAATTTTAGTTAACATGGACCTTAATCGAAATTTCGTGTTGCAATGTGCAAAAGTGATGGCATTTTGTTATACAGTTTTGTAAGTTTAAGGTTGTAAAGTCACGGTCAATACGAATTTTACTTTTATAATTAAAATTCTCTCTCATTTTTTATCGTTATCACTTCAACTTGACTTATATTTAAATTGACAAATGTTTTCCATAGACTGGAATCGAAAATAGGCCGACAGCGTTCTGCTGTTATCCAATTGAAAGTGGATTGTGGATTTTATAATTTCTAAAACTCAATTGAATACCTTAGATTTTCCATGTTCTCTTTTGAGTTGTTTTAAATATGGAAATTTTTAAGAACTATAGATTTAAAATGAGACATTAAGAAATAATCATTGGGGCGTCGATTTGATCTTCACCGGGTCTAACGTGTGTCTAATTAATTTATAAACTGTCTAAAACATTTAAAATAAAACACTTTTACGGTTTAAAAAACGATATATGAAGATGCGCAGGACGAGGATGCTTTGCGGCCGTGGTTACGAGGAGACTGCTGCAAAGCATCCGAAACGTCGGACCGTAGTTAAAGATAATTTTCAAACAACAAACTAAAATACATCGCGTTTTAAACCCCTAAAGTGTTTTATTTTAAATGTGTACTACTTGCGTAAACTACAGACAGTGTGTTGGATACTCGTCTAAAAAATTCTATATTATATTGGTAATTAATTATAATATTAAAATTCCGTCTGTGAAATGAAGTGAACCTGTGCTTGTCTGTCGATAGAAGAAGAAGAAGATAGATTTGCTTACTATAAATTCTTGATGCCATGCGTAAATAGCATGTAGGTATACAATTATGTAATCTTCAGTCATTGTTGTCTACGTCTTAACTATTCAACGAATAGACATTTTATTGATATTACCAACATTGAGGAAAACACATTTGCAATAAAATTGAAGTGTTTATTACATTCATGCATAGAGAATGGACAAGTAAAAGTATTCTCTAATATTCTGTAATGTTAATTATTATTTACGGGAATGTTAAAATCTTTCTCGTTCAAATGGCTTGACCGGATTTGGTAAAATGTTGGTTAAACTTAGACCATTAACGTCTGTGTTAGTCAAGTATAAAACTGAATCGTTTTATTCTTGCATATTGTGGTACTAGTTCATAAAAATAGCCTGACAGGTCTATGTATGATGACGTATAGGACACAGTAGCTCAATTATTAGAAGAAATTTCACGTGCTGGTTGGTCTAACGGTAGCAATGTCTGGCTGATAATCAATGGGTAGCGGGTTCGATTCGCCATCAGGTCTGATATGTTACTTAATTTTCAATTTATAATTTTTTCTGAAATATCTTAGAACTTCGTCTGGATAAAGCCGGTTCAGGTCAAGCCAATTTATTAATTTAATCTAACTATTTTTATTTAACTTTATTTATTTCTACAGTAACTTATCTTAGTAGAATCACTTCAGATGTTCACCAGTACAGATAAAATATAACAGTTAAATAACGAATCAGGTAAATATTAACATCTATTTGTAAAAAATGAAAGTGTTACAAAAATGTGTTGTATTCATTACATTTTTGAAACTCAGTTTTACATTACGTAACGTCATTTGAAATTAGAGATGTAACCGAAAGTCATATAAAAATATATGCTAATTTGTAATTACATTTGACTCTTAGTCACGGACAGTGATTCTTTAAGTGATAAAATTTTGCATAGTTCGTATTAAAAAAATGTATGTTTGAAAATTTTTTGATTCTTCGTCCATAAAATGGTCGGTTTCAAATTACGTAACTCGATGACTGTAATTTGCGGTATTTTTAACTAAGACAAGTTTTACATGATCATTAGACATTCAAGCTTTCAGAGGACATTTAAGCCGTATTTCTTATTATTATGGGCATAATGGGACAGACAATCATAGTAAAATGCCATAGGCCTAAATCTAGTTCAGATGCGTTCTTTACCTATTTCGCTTTCAGAAATCCAAAAAAGGAATCGCAAAGCGAATTTCACACTGCACGGTTTTATATAAAACACTTCTATGGTTAAACACAGGTTTGATATACCTACATATTTCATGACGACGCGACGTTTGTTTTATTTCAATATTTACTAGTCGAATAAACCAAAAATGCAGGCTCGGTATTCGTGCTACTGTACTAACTTGCCTGTAATTAAAATCAATTGTTGAGACAGGCACAGATATGTGTCTGCCCCATGCTCACGTCGGGGAAATGGTATCATTGATATGATTTCAAGCGGAAAATAAGTTCTTCACTATTTTTTAATGGTGGAGGAGTGCAGATGAGCATGGGGTTCTCTGGATGCAAGGCGAAATACTTCAGTCATATAACATCTCGACAAGATACGCTGTCGAACTATTGGCTTTGGATATTCGGAAATCTACAGACTGAAACCGAAACGCGATAAAACTAGCTAGCTTTTTCATCTGTGGACGGTGGATTGTCACCTAGAGGGAACTTCCATATTCCTACCACCTTTAAGTTTTAGAAGCATTGATTTAAAACATGTTGGATCCGAAGATGATCGACTCCACGAGCCATACATATAACCATTATACCAATGAGCCCGTCCAAAGTTAATAACGTTAAAATGCGAAGAGAAAGTATAATAACAGTGTTTGTTGTATCTCTTACGGCGAAGAGTCTGTCCGAGAAGGTCAGCTGATAACCGTGAAACGTGTTTTCACTTGGCAATTTCACTTTCTATACAATTAACTGTTATTTCTGGAGATGCGCCGAGTAACGAGTACCGAGTTTTACGCGGTTCCATTTTTTAACCGAGTACTCGACCGAGTATCTCGGTTCAATAAAATTCCCATTTTGCGCGCGTAAACGAGTACAGACAGTCAAGACGTTGGTTCGTTCTCATTTTCTCATAATTTTGTCTCATTCATTAGCATAATTTTGATTTTGAATATTAAAAACTTTTGGATTACCACTCTTATTTTAATTATATCTACCTAAATACATTGATTTTTATACAAAGTACACTCGTTATCAAATAATAAAGTATAACTGAGTTATTCGGCGGAGTACGAGTACTCGGCCCATCTCTAGAAATAACAGTTAATTGTATAGTATATTTCCGATGAGTGATTTATTGGAGATGCGTGCTTTTAAACAGTGTTACGTTACCAATACGTCAGTAATATAATATTGTAATTATAGTATCCATCAGGCTGTACTGTAATTACATTTTTGTGTTTTGGTATTGTAATTGCTTGTCAGTGCTGTCAGCGGTTTTTCGAAAAACATTTAGATAGCAGAAAAGGATTGGCATTTATCTTTTCTATCTATACTAATATATAAAGCTGAAGAGTTTGCTTGTTTGTTTGTACGCGCTAATCTCAGGAACTACTGGTTGGAATTGGAAATTCAAAATTGAATTTCCCTTTGTGTTGGTTAGAGCGTTTATCGAGGGCAAAGAAACAGCGAGAAAAGTGAAAAAAAAAGAACGGAGAAAATTATTCATCATTGTGAGTTTCCGCGAAATGTATGAAACAATAATTCCCCTGGAAATAATCTAATAAATTATCCGTGACAGTATATGTCTATCGTTAACAATTAACTTGCAAGAACGACGGGAGGAGGAGTACGTATTTAATCATAGTTGTGGTATTACAGGGGAACGTATGGACGTCGCGGTCCGCGCTGACCAGCCCAGCGCTGGGTACTGGCTCCAAGTGAAAGGTGAAGAGGCATGTGACGGGTTAAAAGCGCGTTCGATGTTTTTGTATTCAGGTTTTAATTATACCTCCATGTTAGAGGACATACCAGTAAGTTGAACTTTCTTGGTAGACATTTAAATAAAATACTGAAACGGTTTAAAACGCGATATATATTAGTTAAAGTCGTCGAAAGGCCCGACGTTTCGGATTTTTTACAGCAGCCGTGGTCACGGGGATCTTCAGTCCCAGAGACGTAGTTAAAATAAGTTGAACTAAAACATATCGCCTTTTAAACTGCTTAAGTGTTTATTTAAATGTGTATTACTCGCGTAAAACAGACACTTTTTAATGTCAGTTAGACCAATGTTTCGGATGTAAGGCTCCCTAATCTCAAAGCCCAAGAGTTCTAACATAATAATACTAATTTATTTCTAAACCCTCCATCCATTTATTAAATGTAATGTTATCTAGTGAGTGTTAGTTGGAACTGCGAGCATACCGTCTTCTGTTCTTCGCATTTGGTTTTATAATAGGAAGATAAACTAGCTAGTGAAAGTCTTCAGCCATACACCGGCTGATCAAGGTGGGCTGTCGATCTATTAACTTTGTATATTCGACAATTTACAGATTAAAAAATCTTTTTTATTTATGGATGGTGGTTTATTTGTCAAAGAGGACGACGGCTTTGGATATTCGGAATATTAAATCCAACATGTTTCCAAGTAATTATTAATTCGATTAGAAACATGTTAAAATCGGCGGGGATCGATTCCATGACCTGTCTATTTTAATACCACAACCCTTAATATTTGTTACTTACAGATATTAGTGGATCCTTTAGTTTATTTATGTATTTTCAGAACGAAATGACTTACGACAAAAATAGTATCGTCTGTGGTCAACAATTACTGTCAAGCAAAGACGTTACATCAAAATCTGTTGTCAAGTCGGTATACCTTGGAATAGAGAAGAACAACATCGCAGTTAAGGACAACGAACTTGATTTTCGGTACCTCAGCGATGTTGTGCCTAAGAAGCCATTCTTTCCAACTGCTTTGTGTAAGTTTACTATAATTATAGTTTTATAATGTTGACGCATGGGCGTTAAAACTATTTATAATGGTTTAAAACGCGGATTATAAATTCGTTCTTACAGCATCGAAAACTGCTTTGAGTCAAACACTCGAATCAAAAATGCAGATTATCTTCATATCTGCTTATTTTCTTAAATTCATTATCTTATTAATCAAATTTGGATATTTTCAGCAGCTTTGGTCACAGGTCTGTCCTTCTGTTAGCATCTGGTAGCAATTAAAAATGTATTAACATATATGTACTTAAAAGCATTTCATTTATTAAATATATTATCAATTTAATTTACTTGGTTTAATTTGATACAGAAAAAAAATAGACGTAACGATAATACTGGAATAAACAAATTCATTAAGAAGGTGCTCTGTAAAAACAACATATAAATTTACTTCTTATACTTCTTTTTTCTTCTTTCATATATAGTTAATCATAAACTTCGGGGTTCTTTACAAAAACTTTCTTAATTTGACAGCTCTTAAAGAAGCCGTTGTCCAGATCAATGGCAGAAACTTCTTGTACCCCAACGCTCCTTTATTGCTGAAGCCACATGACGTCTTCAGAGATATCGTGTGCAATGTGGGTGAAGAGAGCAAACACAAGGATGTCCAGTGCATGCAGGTGTTGACAGCAGATGTTAACGGAGCTCTGGAACTTATTTTAGTTAACGAAGGTAATGTTGTACGTTTTGGTACTATATTGTGGTACATGGGATTCAATTGATATTTTGACTTTGAATATTCTGTTTATATGAATTTAACATTTATTCTTTATATATTATTTATTAGATCAAAAATCTGTGACACGGTTGACAGTATTTTAATTTGTATACCACACAACTTTTTGGTCATACGTGCGAGCCCTAATCGTTCAATTTAAATTTTATGTGATATATTGAATATAATTGTATAAAATATATGAAAAAGCAAATCTTAGTTATAACAAAGGCTTGTATTTAATTTCTAAAATCGTTATAATACAGTTTAAACGATTGCTTTAAATGTGGTTTTTGATCTTCATCATCAATAAATGGACTTATGGGCTCTTGATTTATTTATAATCATATTGATGGGTCGGTAAACATAATTTCAGGTTTCCATAGCAACGACTCCTATACGTTCCACATGCATGGCTTCAGCATGCACGTAGTAGCTAGTTGGCAGAGTCCAGCTGGTCTACCCTTGTCAAGGGAGGAGTTTGAAAAGTTGGATAAGGATGGCCTAATTGTCAGGTAAGGCAAAACTTGGAGTGTTACTTGTAAAACTTATATTTTCATAAGCTTAGGGTTTAACAATGTTAATTTTTTCTAAAGAGAGATTATATTTCTATTTTACAAATAGTTTTAGTATAGATCAACACGAGTTAAGTAAAACTGTTTTACTCATATTTAGTAACGTCGCCATTAGCATCTTACAGATGGCGCTGTTAAAAACAATTTCAAAATATAAAACAGCTTATAAGATTAAAATAAGATTTTTCGTTTTATATGGACAAAGGCAAAGGTAAAACAAACATTCAAAATCTATGGAAATAAGTAAAAAACCCACATCTCTCTTGTAAGACAAAAATCTAATCACCTAAAAAAATTCGGGGGTCCTAACCGGCATCCACATTGTTTTGTAATGCTGTTCTAACCAATTAAGCTACCGTGTTAAAAAATAAGCAAACTAAATAAATATTTATTTATATGATACCATCAAGTGCTATAACTTGTGGAAAATATTAAAGTTTAAAGATTTAAAAAATCACTGGCAGACTATGAAGAGGCCAAATTATTTTTTCTTAATCTTCGTGTAAGTAAATATTAAAGTCCACAATTTTGAAAAAAAAAACTTAATATTTGTGTACTTTATTAGGTTTGTAGCCTTCTATTTATGCATTTAATAGATAATTATGTTTAATTTCAGAAATCTACAAAATCCGCCCATCAAAGACACCATATCTGTACCCAACAAGGGTTTCACGATAGTCAGATTCAATCCAGGTCATGGAGGGAACTGGATGCTAGAATGTAGGTCTTGCAGTCTTACTTTGCCGGCTGCGATTGTTATTAGTGTTCCTATATCTTTACCTAAGGCGGTTGTTAATTCGTTACCCAGCTGTGGAAGCTACAAGCCAGCTGATGTACTTCTAAATTGAGTAGACTGCAATTGGTACTGATTTGTTTGCTATACTTTGTCTAATCTAGGATGGTAAGTCTGATTTACAATAAGGTGCGGTTGATACATGACTCATTATTTAAGATTTTATCAACTTAATTAAACACTTTTTAATGGTTTGAATCGCAAAACTATATAAAATAAATCACTAAAATTAAGGTTGGTAATTGTCTAGTGTCAAATTGTTACGCTAACGCCATCTGTTATATCGTAAGTGCTATTTGCAAAATTTTGCTAATAAAATAACAGGTGTTCTTTGTTTAAGACAAAAATAAAAATTAATGACATTAATACAGATATGAGATAAATTTTATGTATACAATAATAAGGTTTTTTCTCACCATCGTTTTTGTAATTAGTTATTCATTTTCAATGCACTTAATTATATTGGCAGCTAATGTTAATGAAGTAAGTAGGCGTAAAGTGTCCTTTTCATCCTATATTAGACACAGTATAGTGATTTTAAATTAAATGGTCTCAATTACTTTTCGTTCATTCGAAAATTGAAATGTCTTAATTTAAAATTAGTTTAAAACACTTGATGCGAGTTCAAAGATGTAAATAATTATAATGATAAACTTATAGTTTAAGTAATATTTATTAAAATATAAAATGTTATTTCTTTGTACGCTGCTTTTTTATTTATTACATTCCCTGAAATATCTTTAATACTTTAAGAAGCCATGTTTTGCTTAACGAAATCTAAATATTCGGAAACTTTAGTGTATACAGTTGGACCACCTTTAATTCCGCAAGGAGCTATTCCCCAAGAAACTATACCTAGAATTACTGGTACATTTTCATCAGTATCTTTGGCTCTTTTTATCGTATCTTCGAAGTTATCATCGTAGGCTTCCGATTCATCTACCAAGTTAGATTCTGGTACCATTTCTATCAAAGGACCTCCTGAATCTCCACTGCAAGCAGCAATACCACCGGATAGGGGTCCGGTACAAATGTGGGCGTTTCTATCTAGAGGATTGCTTTCGCCATCTTCTAGAACTTGCTCAAGGGACCTGTAGCATTCTGTAACAACAATTTTGAGCAAAATTCGAGTGCGTTCACATCGATACATTGACATTAACTGGCTTTCCTACTTTTTATTTTATACTTTTGACAGATAATTTCAATAGTAAATTGGTCTTAAAGCTCTATTGTGTTTAAATGTATCAAAAATGTGTGTATTGTAAATGTATAAAAGTAATCACTGTTCATTTTTTTGGTTATTTAAACGCCTCAGTCTCAGCAACTACGGGTTCGTAAAAATTCTTATTCTGTTGGTTAGAGCATTTATCGAGGAAGGCTGTAAGCTATGAAACATTGCAATGTGACTAAAAGAAGCGAAGATACAGTGGGAAATGTGAAGAAAACGGGAGATATTTTTCATCTCCGTGAATTTCAGATGCGTATGCTGCAAAAACGGTTCAAGGAACCCAAAAAATATATATGAATGAATGATTCCTCTTTAAATGATCTAAAAGAATGTCCGACATGCGTATATGTCTATCTTTTAAGATTAACTTTGAAGAGCGACGGTTCGCGATTGACGGTACGCCACCAATGTCGTGGGCAGCTTACATTTATAAAGATGTAGATGTTTACAAAAACATATTTGGATGCCCAAAATAACAATTCTACGCGGACAAAGTCGCTGACATATCTAGTAAAAGATAAAGTTACATACTATCTACAAAATATATACTTATAGCTGCAATTTAACTTTACAAACAATGTTGGATAATAATCACCAATGCCCTAATTTACATGTTGAAGTATTTTGATAGAAAACCTTTTGAATATTGTCTGTAGTTTACGCGAGTAGTACACACTTAAATAAAACACTTTAACGGTTTAAAACGCGATATATAAGTTAAACTTATTTGAAAATGATTTTTAACTTCGGCCCGACGTTTCGGATGCTTTGCAGCAGCCGTGGTCACGGGGAGACTCTTTGGAAAACCTTTTGCATAGCTAAATGACAGTATCTTTTTCAGCCTGTCTAATTATTATGAGTTGAACGATGGTACGATTCTTTTTTTATCGAAAACATTCGTCCCGCTAGTTTTTAGTAGCATAAGATGCCTATGGGGTTGTCAATTGGCAATGTTGATCTACCTCTTTTTCGAGTAGTCACAAATTATAAGATTCCTTTTCGTCTACGAGCTTTTTCTGAAAAGTTTTATTTTTTCTACTTATGACAGAGCTATCAAAACATTCTAAACAGCATAAATTAGAGCCATTTCCACAATTACTTCAATACCTGTCACAAGGGAGAAGAACTTACCATCGTAAGGTATGTATTTGACCTGTACTTCCTGCAGTCGGCTCGGGAGATCTGGTATAAAGGACGTCGTCCTTAACGCTCCCCATCCAGCCAACTGTAGTGAGTCACTGATGATTTTGCTGTCTTGAGGAAGACGTATTGGTTGTATTTCTTTTGTGAAGTAGAATGGTGACACCGTTCTTAGCATAGCTATGTCGTATGGACCGATACCTCTGCAAAAAATAAAATATTGATTTTAAATATTTTCTATGGTTTACGCGAGTAGTACACATTTAAACAATAAAACTAAACGACGGGATGTAGTAAAAATAATTGTAAATAAGTTAAGAGATATATTTTGCACTTAAAACCCTCAACAGTTTTTTTTTATTTAAAGCTGCAGCTAATTAAGTGAATATATAATCAAAAATTTTACGAATTCCTCTGGTGGTTCAGTGTAGTGGTAGTGGTGAGTTCAACTCCCATCAGGTACAAATTACTTATAAATGTATATGTAATGGCTGTTCGCTTATGGATAATTTGTAAACTTTATCCGCGTTCAGGTTTTAGTCTATGGATTTCCGAACGTCCAAAGCCAAAATAGATCGTCCGCATCTCGTTTAGATCTTATACGGCTTGAGTATTCCACCGTCCATCAAGCGAACGCCATTATTGTCTGTCCTTTTCTATCATAAAGAAATCTCTAGCTTACCCCTGGTATTGAGGATGTGCTACCCGTCTAGCAATTTGATTGACTTGCGCTTTTGCTCCAAAGTTATCGACGTCATGAGCACCAGCGATAGCGTCCATGGGCAGCCATCTTGTTAGCCATGTATCTTGAATGCAGTGGGCAGCCGTTAACACCTATTGTTTACAGTCAGAAAAATTATCATAGTTTACGCGAGTAGTACATATTTAAATAAAACACTTTAACGATTTAACGCGATTTACATGTGGTATTTGGTGAGATATCAACTACGACGGAACAGATGGCGTTAGCGTAGCAGTTGTTACTTTATATCGTGTTAAGTGTTTTATTTAAATATGATACATTACATTAAAATCCGCCACATTTTTTTATCTTGTGCTTTTTTTTAATAAATTTATTTCATAATATTACACCTGTAATTATTTTTGGAGCAAAAATTTCATTGAACGTTTTGCGTCATCAGCGTATGTTGATATTAAATTCTACTACCATTTAATTGTAAACATTATAGATATAAATAATAATTATATTAGCTAGTCGATTCTATAAAGCTGATACAACACTTAATGGTAACAAATAAATTAAAGATAAAAAATACTTTTACTGGGTTAAAACCCTTATATTTAATTTATTTTACGAGTAACTAAAGCCAGACGTTTTGGATAATTTGGAGCCGTCATCACAGGACAGGACAATCGTAGGGTTCATCATAGACAAGTTCAGCCAGACTGAGTTTCTTGGGTTTTAATCTCGGTCATGTTGCTCTTTGGAACAACCTGTAGAATGACGAAACACACACAGGCAACAATTTTTTTGACGGTTCGAAATAATTTTTAAAATTTTAAGGATAATAAACTAGCATAAGACGTTGAACCTTGATACGCAAGTGTTGAGGTTCTAATTACATTGCGCGAGAGGTGTAGGTATTAATAAGCTGAAAAAATCGACAATGAGGTGTAGGACTCGGTAGCTTAATTGGTAGAGCAACAGCACGGAACGCTGACGATGACGGTTCAAGTCCTGCCCGACTCGAAGCTTTTTTCAATTTATTTTCGATTTTTAAATTATAGAGAACTATATTTTATTTCATTTGATGAGAGGTGATATACCCTAACCATATTAGATGTACACAAGATCTGCCGTCGACCTATTTTGCCTTTGGATATACGGATAGTTTTAATTGATACATAGATAAGTACACTTACCCAGTTCTCATTAATGATGCTTCCACCACAAATGTGACCACGAAGCCATAGGAACCGTAATTGAAGAGACACCAAGTAGGGATGGCTGTAGGGCTTTGCTTCATGCCCACCCACTATTCTGGGTTGAGCGACAGGTTCATATTTAGCTGAAGCTATAAAAATAGCAAATTAAGTAAATGTATACAGACTGCAGTTCACGCGAATAGTACACATTTAAATAAAACACTTTAACGGTTTAAAACGCGAAATATATTAGTTACTATTATTTGGAAATTATTTTACAGAAGTCGTCTCTCCGTGACCATGGCCATTGCCTTAAGATTTAAAATTAGTAGATAGATTTTTAATGAATATACTTTAACGGTTTAAAACGCGAAATATATTAGTTACTATTATTTGGAAATTATTTTACAGAAGTCGTCTCTCCGTGACCGTGGCCATTGCCTTAAGTTTTAAAATTAGTAGATAGATTTTTAATGAATATATTTTTTACGCATTACAAGAAAGTTCAAACGGCAGCTGCAAAAGTTTTCACTAAATAAAAAAAAAACCTATATTTTACCTGACAATGCAACCTCACTTGTGGCCACCAAAGCGAACAAGCTGAGAATGAAGTTCATGGTGTAGATATCATGCTGGCACAATAACTCACTCGATGAAAGAGATGATACACTTTTATCATGGTAGATCAGGAATTGTAAACATTTTCCGATTTTTATCAACAGCATAGGAGAGAAAAGGTAATTGGTAAATTAATAATTTGGTCATTTATCAGGATATATAATAACAATATCATATATATTTATTTGTTGTTATTTAATATAACTAAAATAAAAAAAATGTATAGGTTTTTTGATAAATTTTTTTATAGATCTAAAAGTATTCCTATACCTCAGCGAAAGTTACATGTTTCTTAAATTATGATGAAAGGTTTAGTAATTGTTTTTGTGTAAAGCTTTACTTTTAAATAAAACACTTTTAACAGTTTCAAACGTGAAATTTATTAATACACTTATATACAATTTTTTTTTAACTACGGCACGTCGTTTCGGAAGCTTTACTGCAGCTGGTGTCCGTTTGTGGCATAATAACTTGTAAGCAAGTGAACTGATATATCGCGTTTTAAACTGTTAATAGTGTTTTATTTAAATGCGTACCAGCGACAATACGTACAGCTATACTGTCCTCCCCTCACATTTTTATCGATCTCAATTATGGAATATAAAAAAGTCTGTCAATGTTTTGTTGAAAAATATTGTTTTTATATGCTTTTAGAGTAGTACGGGTGATTACAATATTAAATAAGGCTACGTATTTAGTGTACTATGCACTTGATATGAATAAAGAAGTTAAGGCCATATAAAAACTGTTGAAAACATAACAATAGTACTCGAGATATAATATGTTTGTACGTTTTCAAGCGCTATAAAAATAGGACTTGTATCATTGTCGTTTAATAAACAACTTTTTGGTTTTAAAATAAAACAATATTAAAAAAAAACAATTTATTTAATTTGACTATTATTTACTACAATTAAAAAATATCGGTGTGGACTAAATCGACTATCACTCGATTAAATATTTGTAATAATTAAATACTTATTTATAATGTCCGAGATATATGAAACAAACAAAGGTTGTGAATACATAACCTAAAATAAAGATTGCATTTTTCACGATTCAGTAGTCTCGGCAAGCCTATTAAAATTTCAAGTAAAATGCAAGAACATTAGTTACATATAATCTAAAAAAATTAGTTAGCACAGTATGCATATTTTCTAATAACAAAGAACAGACGGGCATGGGTGTCACTAGATGAATGCTTAAATATCTCAGCCCTATAACATCTAACTCAGATGGGCTGTCGTCTCATTCTGATGGTGGTCATTCGGACAATTACACGCTGTAACCGAAATGAGCACAGATTCGCACTTCACGGGATTTCCATTACTTCCGATAGCGCCTTAAGACTCATTTAATGTTCTAAAAGTGATTTAACATTTTAAGAAATGTTTCATATACTTGTTGGCTCCGTAATCGAACCTGCGACCCGTTGGCATTCTATCATTTAACTTTTACTTTAAAAAAGCGGGTAATTTAAACTAGAACGTTACCCAAAATATAGTATTGCTTTAATTTACACTTACAGCTATTTACGAGTACAATAATATAAATTGGAAAACGTTCAGTTTTCCTAAATAAAACATGAATTATTTAAATACTGTTTATAGTTTACGCGAGTAGTACACATTTAAATAAAACAATTTAACTGTTTATGACGCGATATATTAGTTCTAACTAACTAATATATCGCATTTTAAACCGTTAAAGTGTTCTATTTAAATGAAATATTTACTGAATACAAGCGTAAAATGCAAATCATACTTTTCACCCTTTACAAATATCTATAGTTTAAAATTAATTGACACTTAACTAGTTTGGTTGTACAAAAACTAACTATTCTAACTAGAAGTTACATTTATGCGAGTTTTCTAAATTATTATTTACACAAAATAATAAACGCCTACCCGATTACTGTTAGCAAGAACGAACGATGAGTGAGAATAGAAAATGTAGGAGCTTTGGTTATAGATAATTTAACCAGTATGTTTCGAAAACAATATCAAATCGCTAATTAAAAACATTTTTATCAAACGGCAGTGCCCAACGGTATAAATTAAAAATCTATTTTGAAAAAATGTTACGACAAGACAACAACAACATGCAACGGTATCCATAGATAGCGTTGCATGTTGTTGTTTTAACCAATTGAGCTACCATGTCCTACAGCTTCAAAGCTTATTTAGCTAGAGCACCAGTAGGAAACGCTATGACGTGTGAAAAACATAATAATTTTTCAAATAACAGTATTAGAAAAACATGTGAAGCGGTACCCGCTCCTATCAGAGTCACTTTTAAATATTATGACCCTATTTACTGGCTTACGACTATAAGTAAACGAAACGACCCTATGAAAGAATGCTAAATACGAAGTCGACTTTTAGAAAGATTGATAAAATAAATATAAAATTATTGTTTTACTTGGCACAAGCTTCAAAAATTATTATAGAAATCATTTCTATTTACCTAAATCAAAATATTACAATGTGTCAAGTAAAGTTTTTCTTAATATTTGAAGTCTGACAATGTTTAAATGTCTTTACGAATGTATTTGATATTGACAATATGGCTGTACATTAATGAACCTTCTCGTTTTAGGCCACTTTGACCCGACGGTGTCGGATTAATGACCCAATCTTTATTTAGTCACGATAAAAGAAAGGCCTACTGTTAGTGAACTATTGGATAATACGGTGGCGTTATAGATGGTAGATGGTGGCCACATCTTGGGAAGTTCGGTGGTACCGGTGGTAGATCTGCCTGCGTACCGATGTGTAGAATTAGATTCATTCCGATGACTATGTGGTAGATGAAATGACAGTGGAAGAGCCAGTATCCTGGAAAATTTAAAACATTATTATTTTACACATGTAAAAATGATATCATATTGAATTTATGGAACGTCTATGCGCTTTCAAATTAAATAATAAAAGCTATAAGCGACTTTGAAACTCAAGGCATGAGTGTTAAGGTTGAAGTTACATCACGTTCATAAAAATCGACGATGACGTGTAGGACACGGTAGCTCAAATTATAGTCGTGGGTTCGAGTACCATAGTTTAGATGTTTTTAATCTCGACCTTGAACCTTACTGCTGATTCGTCACACCAACATATCAACATTTTGCAACATAGACAACATTTAATAAAAGAAAGATCGGTAACCCTTAACTGATAAAGAAAAAGATACGCGAGCAGTACACAGTTAAATCAAACAATTTTAACGGCTTAAAACGCGTAATGTGTTAGTTAAACTTTGCAGCGAAGCGAAGGGTCGGGCCGTAGTTAAAATGATTTGTGAAGTTTAAATAATACATTTCGCGTTCTAACCCGTTTTATATAAATAAACTAAGCTATCTAGAACTTTAAAATTGCCAAATTGGTTCGATAAAGCAACCGAACGATTTACCCACCATAATAAGTAAATACTAACTAACTATATAACATTAATGGTACCTGGATTATCAGCTTTCAATCGTAAAACGACATATCCGTTATTAGGCACGGCCAGTGTGTCTTTCAAAGGCGGCAAGTCGTACTGCCTGTGCAATAATCCTTTCCTGTCTAGATCTAGGGCGTGCTTCAGGTTGATTTTCTTGATATTCTTATCTGGTGACCGTCCCATGCCGATCACGGAGTAGGATGTCCCGTGGAGGTGGAAGGGGTGAGAAAGATTAGGCGATTGAACTGTGAACAAAATATTATTATATACATTGCGTGAGAGGTGCATGTATCAATAAGTTGAAAAAATTCGACGATGAGGTGTAGGACTCGGTAGATCAATTGGTAGAGCAACAGCACGGAACGCTGACGATGCCGGTTCAAGTCCTGCCCGAGTCGAAAATTTTTCAATTTATTTTCGATTTTTAAATAATATTATAATTCAGAAACATTATAAATCCAAGATGGCTGACGATAGAAAATGGCGGATTACATATTTTTCCTTAACCCCCTCAATATGGGTATCAAATGAAAGTGCTAATAAAAAGCAATGATTATGTCAAAAAATTTTTTTTTGTAGTTTTCAGTGCACAAAAAATAAAATTGTTTAACTTATTTTTTTTTTAAGTTGATACTTGTTTTTATATTCTGTCTTATATGATTGCATTCTATAAATAAACGTTTTTATAATTCAAATCGCTCCCTTTCTATGTATTATAAAAATATCATAATATCCTTCTCATTCCTTCGACTTGGTTTAGAACAGTCAGTAAAACTAAGTTTTTAACTGGTGTGATGTCCATAAATACGTGAAACCTTCAACACAATATTTCAAATTCTTTGAAGACGCAGTATTAGGTTCTTCGTATAGGTTTGGTTTTTAATATCTTTTTATTTATTTAGACTTAGCTCTTACTTTGAAGCTAAAATAACTAACCTTCATCCACCAAGACGATTTCTACAATGGAGTTTAATGGAACGTCAATCATGTGTGTACACCTGCAGTCGACTGCGCAGTTTTCCGGCCTATTGTCCCCGTTGCAGAATAGTTCTGGTGAGAGCTCGTGCATTTGAGAGAGTGGTGGCGCTGGGGCAGCTTGGTAAGAGATCTCATCTACTAAACTGAGGACGTGGTCACCGCCAGGAGCAACTGAACAGAATGAGTTTGATATAAGCGTTAAGTATTGCCAAGTATGTAAGCAAGTAAGAAAAATAAGGTTTATCATGAAAGATAAGACATGGTAGTTCGCGGGTTCGCATCCCGTCATGTCATATTTTCAATCTCAAAAAAGTTTAGCTCGTAGCAATGTATGGCTAATAAACATCGGGTCGTGGGTTTGATCCCCATCGGAAAACGTGTTTCTAATTTCTCAATTTTTCTGAAATATGTTGGTCTTCGTCTGGAAATCTGGATATTGAATGGGTGGGAGGATCGCGTTTTGGTTACACAGCCTCTGGAATCCAAAGCCAAAATAACTCGAGCTTCTATTTTAAAGTTGTTATTATAAACATTATGCTAAAATAGTCCTCCTTATTCACTAAACCACCATCTGCCCAAACGTCCAATAATGTAGAAAATAGCAGAGAACTCTCTTAGTCAAGAACCTATTTAAATTAGAGAATAAAAGGAACAACAACTCACCTAAGTAATTTCTGTAGGTATTTTCTTTGAAAAGTTCCTTGGGCTTGTAAAAATGAAATCTGAACGGCAAGAAGATCTTGACGTCCGGTCGTTCCTGCAGGATCTCTTTGGCGATGGGTTTCGCTGACTTCAAATTGCTGACACAAACAGCATCGTTACGTTTTTTGTCGCAAATTGCGTCTAGTGGGTTCATTACCTAAGAAACAATATTATATGAAAATAGCGAACAAGTGCGATAAAGAATAAATGAAATAGAGAAAGAAATAATAGACAAAGAAATGTACAAACTTTCAGGATCCACCACACCGAAATGAACCACAGACAATCCACTACAGATCTATCAACTACGTGATTGATTAAAATTACCTTAAAGGAGGTGAACATGATGTATGATATGAATAACCATGTTCTGTACACCATGTATCGAAACTTACATTTATATATAATACACTAAACTACTGATTTACAAAAATATACAATTTGTTTACGGAAAGGATAAGGAATGTGGAGGTAAAAAATACCATTTGGTACCACTAAGATACGCAAAACAAAACGCGAGGGGCACTCATTAAAAAAGCACTTTTTAACTGTTTAAAACGTCTTTTTATTTTAACATGTGGAAACGGGAAGGTGGTGTACTAAACGAATACAATTTGCCTTTTAAACCGTTTTTTATTTGATGTATTACCAGGATGAAAACGTCATACTCGGGATTCAATTAAAGGAGAAAAATTCAATGCACATGTTAGATTTTTCTACATTTATTAAATGGTACAAATTTTACAAATCTCTTATAATACAATGTTATAAATATATTTTGCAATCCGCAACTGCAATGACCGCTTTTGAATATACAATTGATCGATGCGCACAAACATCGATCACTAATAAGATCGATGCGTACAAAACTGTGGTACGTAGCTATGTCTTACTTGTATAATGGTAACTGTTCTGGTAACTAAATTTTTCTAGACACATTCACACTGCAACTGCCAGCCTTGACTTGAAATCGCGCTTCGGATTTTTTGTTGCGAGTAACACAGTCTTATTTGAGTTGTTCGTGCAAATCTTGGATTCAACAAACAGTTTGTGTATTTACAATATTTTTTTTTATATTTACAATAACTACGGGACGTGTTTCGCATGCTTGTTAGTTGGTTAATAATCTCCTAATTATTCACATTGACACACAGTCCTTCCACTTAGCCCTTGCGGAAGTCATAAATTAAAATTGTTATTCTGTTTTATTGTATACAATTTGAAGATCGATTATTTATATTTGAAGATTTTATTTATAACTTAGGGCATGACGGAAAGGACAATAAACATCCACACGACAATGTTGTTGTTAGTTAACGATTTACATACAAATAAATATTGGGAAAAAATCAATGGCAAGTTATATAGAACGAACGTTCATTAGGATAACGTTAGGAAAAGTTTTTTATATCAAGACAACCTCACGATTAGTGAAGCTAACACGTCGTCGGTCCGCAATGGATATATGATATTTCATTACACACAAGGGAATCACCTTTTAAATAATCACAAACTAGCAAGAACCTCAGTTGATCATTCGAATACAAAATTAACACATGGTGGAGTCGAGCACTTCGAGTCCACCGACACATCACACTAAACAAACATAAAATTACACTTAGTTAACATTATATATCAACTGGTCTTCCAATGTTGCACGTTAAAACAAATGAATGTCTAGGAACCGATTTAGTTGGCTGTGATCGGCGGGAGGTGATCTCCACACGTGGGGAAGTTGGGTGGAACCGGAGGCAAGTCCGCTTGAGTGCCCACTTGAAGTACGACGTTCATGCCTATAACTATGTGGAACAGGAAGTGACAGTGCAGCAGCCAGAAGCCTGGATTCGTAGCTCTGAATCTCAAGATAACGTATCCGTTGTTGGGAACAGCAATGGTATCCTTCGCCGGTGGTAAATCTCCTTGCTTCAAGTGACGCTCGAGCAGACCTCTCCTGTCGAGATCGAGCGCATGCTTCAAGTTAATCTTCTTCACGTTCTGGTCCGGTGACCTTCCGATACCGACAACATTGTATGCATATCCGTGCAAGTGGAACGGGTGAGATAAGTTCACGATTTGTACTGAAAGCGAAAAGTGCAATTAGAAAAATTTGCATTGAATCTGTAATCGTCTAACGTAATTTGGTTGCAACATACCTTCATCAACTAGAACAATTTCCACTACCGCGTTCAGTGGGATATCTATTTTGTGGGTGCACATGCAGTTTTGGCCGCAGTCAGCGGGCCTATTGTCTCCGTTACAGAACTGGTCGGGGTTTATGTCGTCGTACTGACTGATGAGGGGAGCGGGTGGGGACATGTACGAGATTTCGTCTATTAAACTGATAACGTGGTCTCCTTGTGGGGCCACTGTGGAAGTGAGGTGATTGTTAGTACTGTTCAACATGGTATTAAAGATGAAATTTCCAGAACAGGGGGCAATGAAGTATTTTAAAAATCATATCGAATTTAAATAATTTCGCCACGAGCAATAAATAGGTATTATATATATAAATAAAAACGAAAATGTATTTATGTATCAATCAAGTCTTAAAGGTCAACCTAATAAATATTTTTTAAACAATTAAGGATTCAAAGTAGAAAAAAGTAAAATATATTGAAAAACATTCCCCTGTTCTAGAATAAAGAAACTTACCTAAGTATCTGTTATACGTGTTCGGTTGGAACAGCATTTCCGGTCTGTACACAAAGAAACGGAAAGGCAAGAAAATCTTTACATCCGGTCGCTCTTGTAATATGGCTGGATCTATGTGCCTGGCGTTTTTCAGTTGGCTGACGCAAATTGCGTCATTCCTGGGTACGTTACATCTCGCATCCAGGGGGTTCATAACCTGAATAGTTAGTTAGGATAAGGTACGTGCAATTACTAATAATACGTGCATACAACTGGGCTACATATTAATGTTTATCTACTTTCTCTGTATTTATAATTGCTACTAGTATCTGCAAACAACACTCGGATGTTAGGAAATTATGTCTATCTACTAGTTAAAGTAATAAACAGAAAAGAAAGGTTCTAATTTTTTTACTTTCACTTTGCTTCTTTTGCTTTTCGTAATATACAAAGATGAAAGAACTCGTCATAATCGATAAGTTCGCCTCGTGGGACATCATTATCTGTTATTTTTTCGTCTTTGTAAGTCTTCTTAGCAAGAAGATCAAATATTTTCACATCTGGATTCGAAGCAAAAACCTTCCTTTCCTCTTTTGATGTTAGGGAAAAAAATCTTTTTAGTCCTAGGGTTTGGTATACATAATAATTACAGTAAAATCTATACGTTTGAACACTACAAAAATAATATACAAATCAACTTTAAGATTATGTACAACTGTGTACTCGTTGACAAGTCTCAAGACTCTCTGATTAAAGTTTGAGCAATCGTGCGCAACAAATGTACTCAGTTAAATCGAGGCTGCGTGGTATATTGACAAGAATTCGTTTGCAATATCCGCCAATTAATAATGATGTGGGCATTACCATGGTATGAGTTGATGACTTGAAAATGGTCGGATGTTTTGACTGCTTGTAATGAGTATACACAAGATATTGATTCATTAATGTACAATTAAAACTCAAAGGAAATTTTGTACATGGCCTGTAAAAGGACTATGGGTGTGGGGTACTCACCACTCCTTGTGGTATTCCAACGTCGTACGTCGGTGAAGGAGTTGACGGCTGGTAAGGACCCCTAGCGTATCTAAGGATTCCTAGTTGTTGCGCTCTTTTAATACCACATTCTCCAAGACCACGTACTTGTATCCAGTACGCGCCCGGGATATTGTTGGCTTCGATGACAAAGTCGTATCGTTCACCTGGAAAACGTCATCAGATCGTCTTTAATCTAATATCATTCTGGGTTTTTGAAAGTCCTTTCAATCAAGCACTTTTAATATTTAAATTCGATCCTAGACCCGACGTTTCGGGTGCTTAAAAAACGAACAGCGTTTTATTTGATTGAACCACCGGAGAATAAAAAAACACGGAAATTATCATAGTCGTCGGAATTTGATATTATACAACCCAATTGCGTATCGCACGCATTAATAACATTACAACATTGGGTGTGGCTATTGTAATTGCTGCTTTTATCGTTGGCTAATTACAGTTTTAAATTTGGCATAATGGTTACAAGGAAATGCGGTTAACTAATCAGAAGGTTTGATGTAATAAAGTAAGACCTAATTAATATGGTTTTCCTTCTTAGAGTAGATACGACAAGACATGGTTCCTTAGCCTCTATTCAAATAGAGAAACTTACCAGAGAACGAAATAATAGTGTTAACTTGGACGGGCTGCACGGGCTCGCCGTCCGTTGCAATCACTGTGAGGTTGTGTCCTTCAAACGTGACCTGGGCTGGACAAACTGATGCAAAAGCGTTGATCATTCTGAACCTATATCTTCTTCCAGGTGTTATCGTGAACACCTCCAATGGCGTGTTCGTCATGAAACCAGTGTTTGGATCTCTGAACTGTCCTTTTCCATTGATCAGGACGTTCTCGGGATCTTGGCCCGTGTTCACGGCCAGACGTCCAGGGTACCTTTCAGCCGCGTCTTCGTGGAGCCAATCACTAAGTAACATGACGTGCGTGGTCAGATCGTAGTCATATAAGTGGCTGTTGGGATCCTTGGACGGCGGTTGACGGACCACAATACTTCCGTAAAGACCGTCCAGTTTTTGCAGACCAGTGTGCGCGTGCCAGAAGTGTGTACCGGCGTTACCTTGCCATTGATACCTGAAATTATAATTAAATTATATAAATTTATAAGGTCATTTAGCTTTAATACGAGAATAATCACGTTATTTTAACAAATATTAGGTCTTAACATTAGTGATTTGTGTTATATTGTACTAGCCACAGTAGTGTCAATACTCCAATATCTCTCCTTAGATTACAATTTCTAATTTTCCATTCCAAATTTAAATACTTATTTTTATTTACTCATAAATCCGTTCTGTAAAGAAAAACTACTGTACGTAATGTACTGTACGTAAACGTTTTCAGTTATTTTAATAGTCTGCTGAAAGACAAACAGAGATACATGGGACCCAAAAAAGCAGTGTTAATTTAAAATCTATGTTTATCTTGATACGATAATAAGGTGACTTACCTAAACGTGTTCCCTTGTTGTATAGGACACTGCGTGACGAACGGTACTCCGTCGTAATATTGGGAACCGCGCTGCCAGATTCCGTGCCAGTGGATGGTGACTTCCATACCTTCCATGTGGTTCTCAACATCGACGACCACCTTGTCGTTCTCACACACTTGTATGGATGGTCCTGGCAACATTCTGTTAGCTGATAGAATACCTCTTTCTACTCCATCAGCTAAAACGCACTGGCAGTGAGACCAAACGACGTTCGTTGCGTTTGGGGTGCATACTTGGCAAGCTCTGTAACAATGTGAGAGATATTATTAGGACTGCAATATCTTTGTACTTTAAAAATCGAAAATACATTGAAAAAAATTTCGACTCGGGCAGGACGTGAACCGGCATCGTCAGTGTTCCGTGCTGTTGCTCTGCCGTCCGTCTTGTTGACGATGCCGGTTCGAGTCCTGCCCGAGTTGAAAACTTTTTCAATTTACTTTCGATTTTTAAATGATATGTCAATTTTCAATCACGCGAATTATCGTCCACTTCAGATATACAACAATATCCAGTTCAACTGTCTTTGAAATTGCTTTGTGCTCGTAAAAGATACAATGTATGACTTCGGTTCAAGTATAATCTAGCAATTTACATAACTGTTGTCGACACCTATCAATTACAAGCATGCTTAATTGTCATTTCGACCGTATCAATGCCGCTGCAAGCAGTTCTAGTAGTTGTGAGTTCACTCAAACAGAACGGTAAGTTGAATTTCAACTTTAATTCAAGTAACGATAATATTATGCATTCGGGACGTTGTGACCCCATTGCCAGATTTTACGCATGAAATATTATGCAACGAAAAATTCCTCACAGGAAACAAATTATAATTGGTGTTAAAAGATAACAGAAAAAATGTATACTAATTCGTTGGTCTACGCCTCTGAATAAATTCAGGATGTAACTAGGGTTCTCAACAGCTCGCCAGAAAAATGGAAAAACACGCTATCTACCTACACCTTTTAAAATATGATATATGGAAAATACTTTACAAATGAAAAGTTAACAATTTATTTAGTATTTCTTGCTGCTTTTAAGTGTCGAAAATATTTTTGTGTGAGTTCCCGTTTCGCCCTCGTGGGGCATGGGGCGAGCACATGCTGTGTCCGTTTCACTGATCCGTTCTTTAACAGGCAAGTAGTTGATCAGTTTCGCCTTGCTCGACCGAAACATTTTTTTTTGTTTCCCTGGGATTCGAACCCAGAACCTCTTGCGCGTAATGCAATGCTAAACACGTTTAACCATTGGCTACAGAGGTCGAAAATATACTATCTTTATATTTGACTTCAAAACAATACGATATTTGTTAAACACCCTACACACAGATAACATTTGAAAAGATACTCACGCGCCGAGGACCGTGTAAAACTCCAAAGTGAAGTGATAGTAGCATATTCTTGGCGGTTCGTTTTCTCTGCACGCCCTGGCACATTCATCTGGCGCTGACAACGCTGGGTTCCTCCTTAGCTCGGCAGTAGCACTGCTGGTGAAGTCCAAATGCTTCAACCCCAACTTCCCATTCACACTCCTGGCTAGAGGTGGTAGCGGATTGCTTCTGAAAGTTCCGCTGAGTGGACCGCTGCCACTGGTCTGCGCGAAGGGATTGGAGGAAGGCCCAACTGTACTGTCTATTGATCCAAATGTGGCGAAGGGGTCGCTGCCAGAGGGGTGGGTCTGCACGAGGCCATGGGTCGAGGCGAATCCATTACTTGAGGTATCCCGGAACGGCGTCGCTGTACCCGCCTGCCACCAAGATGCTGACGTGGATTGGTCTTCTGATGCGCCTATGGCTTCTGTAACAAAGTAACACAATTAACGATTATCCGTTTCGTTGCTCTTAACGAGCGTGTTCCGCGATGAAAAACAAATTGGATAAACATGAGGAAGTGAATTATAAATAATTAATTCATAACTATGAACAGTTCTCGATAAGTTACGTTAGGATTCAACCTAAATACGATTTGTATGAATTTCAGTTGTTTATCTGATTAAGATTTACAATTGATAATATTGTCTGTAGCTTGTGCGAATGCATATTAAATTAAACAATTTTATCATGTCACCACGGCTGCTGTAAACTTCTGTTTAACGAATATACTTTACATACTAAACCGTTTCAAACGCTGTTTTTAAGTGGCAGGCATTTTTTTTTGTACAACATAAAATCTAAATCTATCTAAAATATAACTGAACACTATTTAACTTTTATCGTCAATAATATTAATAATAAGGCGATTATATTTTAAGAACTCTAATTGGTCATTGTTTGACGCCACTGAAATTCAAACTACTCGTAAGAGGCTAGCGAACTGTGCTCCTATTAAAATAATTAATAAAATATACATTTAGAATCATTAGGCGTTTATAATACTTAATAAAACATGACGCCTAGTTTAATTACTGCAGAATTGTTTAAACTTTTTCTATAAATGTATTATGCAAACGAGTTCGTTTAATTATCTTAAATATATTTAGTTGGTATATTTCGTCAATGCTGATTCGTTACACAGATAAACCAGATTTAGAACAGGTACATTTATGCAAATCGTTACGGACACTGGCGAGCAGCGACTGTGTTGTCACAGCTGTTTTGCAACAACAGGGACTCGAACTTCGTATCTATCCTTAAACGTAAGGACTTTTACTTCCTCGTTACTTGTGACAATCGCTTCGTTCTATATACATGGTAATTAGATTGTGTGATACAATCGTTTGATTTCAAAATGGTCTTATCTGTTACCTAGCTAGTTCTTTTGTCATATGACGTATTTCGACCAATCGACTGTTTTTATGCTAGAGTAGGACAGACAAGCATTCACCTGATGTTAGGTGACATCATATAACATCTCAACAGGATACGCTGTCCACCGGCTTTGGATATTTATAAATCTAAATAAAAAAAAAATTAATGGTTCAATTCGCGAAATGTACTAATCAACTCATATACAATGTATATACATTTCGCGTTTTAAGCCGTTGAAAGTGTTTTATAGAAAATATTGTAACCTTAGTCTACAAAATTGCAATCTAAATAAATATTGTTCTCTATCTGTGTATATAATAACAGGTCAATTGTCAATTTGACCATAGATAATAACCCATTTGTTTATCGTCTATGATGTATTTTAGAATAAATTATTACAAAGTAAATCATTCGCTTTGTTACTGGCTGGATTTTTTTTTTGGGTTGCCCCCAAGTTCGCCACGACCGTGAACTAATATTACTTTTACTTCCTTGTCAATTACGACATTCTATTTTTATAAGTTCTTATCAATCGGCATAACTTTGTTATGAACACAAAGAACTTTGAAGTTGAATACAAAATTGTATTTGATATAATTAAATTTTATCTTTTCATAATTTATAAAATTAGTAATCGGACGTAGCTAGTCAACAATCAATTAAACTTGCGATACATTTCAGTTCATTGCAAAAGTATTAAGCAATCTTGATTTATCTTAACTTCCTTAGACGATTTGGAGCAGTTTGTTATAACAATACAGCAATGTCGTAAGGTACATTTGAAATTTACGTTCATTGGTTTACTTGTTTTTGAATTTTATTGGCTTTTTATGTTAATTCGAGCGCAGGAATTCACAAGTCTAATCACTTTCAAATTTCAATGTTGATTGTTTTGATAAAATCAATGTTTTCAGTGCGGAGTGCATAAATCAAGTTGTTTTTTTGTAAGTTACGAGTTAGCTGCAACCTTGGAATTTTCGCTGACAGTTACAATTAGTATTATATCTTAAAGGACATATTCACACTGAAATAAAATTATTATTATATATTGATTAACTTCATATTTGAATATACACTTACTAACTATATTGTTTTAGCCCGCATAAAAGTCTTTAGTTATTTTTTTTATATCTGCAATAGATTGTCTTTTGTTTTTTTACATGAACCGTCAGAATCCGATGTCAAATAAAGATAAAATATATTAACAGAGTCCTTTCATATCGATATAATATACTCATATTTATAGAGAAGTATAGTTATTTTTTATGTATATATGAATGACGAGAACAAACAAACCAACTTGCTGGAAGGCGAAACACCTAGGGTACCTATAAACGTATAATATATTTCACGTTTTAAGCCGTTTAAGTGTTTTATTTAAAATGTGTATCGCGTAAACCACAGGCAGTATTTCATATAGTATATGTTTTGTTTATTCTGAAATCTACAGGCGGAAATCGAAACTGGTATTTTTACAGTTCACGGATTTCTCGTATATGAACGTTCGTTAGTAATATTTCTACCACCCATTTAACATTTTCTGGACCAAGTCCAAATTAGAAAAGATACTGGTTTTAGAAGCATGGTGGCCACGGTGGGAGACTCACATCCCGTTAGCCATACATTGTTACAGTTTGACCAAGATAAAACCGTGAAAAAATAATCCGTTTATTACATAGTAACAATGCAATAATGGCAATAGAAGTTCTTAAAAGCCACTTCAGGCCATACCGAGCCACTGTATTGTACTGTCTGTGATTCGCTACAGCTATAAATACGGAGATGGCTATCGTTATCAATTTCACGTGCTTTTGAGTTATACAATTCTGATCTTTATTGCAATTGACGTTAATTGTAATTTATGTCTGAGATTGTTTAACGTATTATTCAGTAGTTAATACGCTTTGGTGTTTGTATAATATAGAAATTCTCGCTAATATTAACTGGTTCTACCTTATATAAAGTGTCCCATTTCTGTGTCCCTCCACTGATCGATTTTATTTAGAAGCTTTATTATTATTTTCGTTGCTCCATCCAAATTTATAATTCTCCCAGTACTCAAACTTAGGACCTCGTTCATAAAGTAACTTTAACCCATCGAACCATTAAGCCGTGGAGGATATTGCGTTAGAGGCCCTGGGTTCGAAATCCGGTGATACGATTTTTGGTTTTCGTCATAGCCCTATCAATGTGTGAAACTTTTTTTATTACACATAATAACAGACAAGGTTGGTGTTGATGGAAAGTTAAATAGGCCAGCCATATAACGTGTCAATAAGATGCGTCGACCTATTTTCGCTTTGGATATTCGGACAACCAGAGTGAGACCGAAACTCGATTAAATATCACCTGTTTTTCATCTGTAGACGGTGGTTCGTGACTTTAAGATACCTCCCTAAAACTGGATATTAAATCCAGTTTTCCAGGCAAAGTCGAATATGTTTCAAATAAATTATACATTTATTACAACCATATTGGACCCGATGGTGATAAAACCCACGATCCGTGGATTATTAGCCATGACTTTTAACTGCCACAATTAGACCACCGCGCCGTTTAAATGAACATCAAATAGTAATCATGAACTTACTAGAATTTATAAATAATATTTTTCATATATATTTTACATTGCTCTGCAACAAATTTTCTACGAACTTCAGGTAATGTTATGTAACATCACGCGTTACGAACGTTCCGCTCCATTGCATATCGGTTTTACCTGAATCAAAGTTTTCATTACTGAACTATTCAACTGGGTCAAGAATATTATAAGGAAAACACGTGAAAATCTAAATTCCGTTAAGTTTTTGCAGCTTCATGTGTAAATTTATTTAATAAATGCCGATTGAATATCTATATCTATCTATATATATCTAGCTATGAAGTTTTCGTGATGAGGATTGTTTTTTCTGTGAAAAAATAGTTTTTTTAATGGCATATATTAAAACTGTGTGCCGAAGGAAATTCACTGACCAAATTTAAATGATTACTATCACAACAAAACACCTGTTACACAAACGACTATAAATTAATTATATATTATTATTTAATTTAATAATAAAATAAGAAATATTATACATTACCGCTTTCTTATAACAATCACTGTTTCAAACATGTTAAAAATGTTACAAACTTTATTTCTTACACGTTCAATGACGTTTCATTGCGAAAAATTATAATTACATAAAGTTCACACATCAATTTACATGGAAACGCCTGAAATGGGTAATCTGCGTTATTACAGCGTGGATTTCTGAATGTTTTAAGCCAAAATAAGCCGACAGCGCATCTTGTTCAGATGTCATAATAAGGGTATTTCACCTCCTATCAAGTGAACCCAGTGTCTGTCGGGCCTCCTCTGCTAAAAAAAACGTACGTTTCAAAACAAATATAAGACTATGATTTTGAAGAGACTGTGATCATTCGATCTAGTTAAATCATTTGTTCACTAAGCAAAGACCACACCAAGATACATTACACTATGAGATTAGACACTAGACGTTGGTATTAAAATAGATTGTTTCATCTCTTTAATGACGTTAACGCGAAAACAACATATTAAATGACAAATGTAGTACGCGTTATTTAGATGATCAATTCTATACGCTTTCTGTTTTATTATTAATTTTTAGGGTACCGCATATATAAGTAAAGTGTCCACTATTTTTTGTCATCGGACTAACAGTTATATAATAAATTTGTTTATACATTCTGTATTTTCAGTTTAACAATACATTTTTTCAGGTGAACACCCAGTAGCAAATGTTACGCCGTTTCACGGAACCCCTGAGTTGAATTGAGGCCGCTAGAGGCAGAATAGCCTAACTGCAATTTTATGACTTGACTTATTTATATTTTAACTGTCTAAAAACAGAAATCTACAAGAGTGTGTTGAGCGAAAATTGTTAACATAATTCTTACACAAATAATAGTACAAATTCATTTTCGCGTAAGGTAATTGTGCATTTTTATTTTCTTCATTATTGAAAATCATGTTTCTTGTTATAAGGCCACTCTGCCTCTAGCTAACTTTAATTTGACTCGCACTTG